AAGAACAACTGATCACATTGGTCCCCCTGCTAGACCATTATGATGTGCAGGAGGAGGAAGAGGGTTTCTTCTGCAAACAGGGTATGTGATGTCACAGAAGGTGACAGCTGAGAGAATAACACTGGCAAGCAAGTGCTTCTGGCTCTTGGGATGGTGGCTGGGGGAAGAAGGCCCAGTTTTTGGAGAGATGCCTGATGTGAAGTGCCTTTTGGGATTTCCATTCCTTCTTTCTGTGCCACCCGATTTATGGAAGGGCAATTCCAAAAACAGATCCACTTTTCCCATGGAAGTATCATAGCTGGAGAACAGGAAGGGTTATCTATTTGTGGCAAAAATGTACGTTAGCCCGCTAGGAACACACCTAACATTGGGTCTCTTACCTTATAGTGTACAAATACTGCAGCACAGAGAAAGGTGGCCAGGCAGGTAGGTGACACAATGGATAGAGCCAGGAAGACCTGAGTTCAAATTCAAGCTCAGATATTTACTGGCTGTGTGACCCTGGACAAGTCACTTAGCCTCTATTTTTGCCTCATTTTCCTCAACTGTAAAATGGGGATAATAATGGCACCCATCTCCCAGGGTTGTTATGAAGATAAAACAAGATAATATTTGTAAAATTCTAGCACAGTGCCTCATACATAGTAGGTGCTATATAAATGTTATCATCATCATCGTCGTCGTCATCATTATAATTGTTAGCATTGTCAGCAAATGGATTATATTCCCCTAATCACGTTTGAGTAGTAGTCACTGCATTTTACTTTGCTGGCTAAGGAGAAATGTGGCTGGTAGCTAACTCATCATACACTTTTAAAGAGAAGAGAAAATCTTTGTCTTACTCCATGAATCAAAACTCACAAGGCCTTGTTCATTCTATAGTACATCTCAAATCCTGAGAGGGGAAGGCAGCATAGTATAAAAGATAGGATTCTGGACTTGGAGTCAGGAAGACCTGGGCTCGAATCCTGCCTTAGCTCAGCCTTTCCAAGCCTCAGTTTCCTCATCTGTAAAATGAAGGGTGTCAACAACCCCAAAGGACAACCTTGAGCTCTAAATCTAAGATTATATGGGCACGTACTATCAGGAGGCTCTGATGAGATCATGGACGTAATGCACTTTACAAACTTTAAAGCCATATATAAATGTCAGTCATAGTCAGTCATCCTCATTCAGTCACAGGGTTCAATATTTTAGATCATTACTTGCAGCTGGAGATCTTAGGAATCCTGAAAATTCCAAGGCCCTCTTTCAGGCTTTTTCCAGCATCTGGTTTTCCATTGTCTTGCCCATTGTCCACATCATTCCTCAAGTCTATAACAGACTCCATGGCAGCTGGCACAGTGTGTTTCACAGGGGATCATTGGGTCATAGACTTAGAGCTGGAAGGGTCCTTGGAGGTCATCTAGTCCAAATCCCCTCATTTCACAGGTGAGGAAAATGAAGCCCAGAGTTCTTGCCCAAGGTCATACAAAAATTGTGTCAGCATAGGGACTACACTTCATGTAGTCTAACTCCAACTTCACACAGTAGGTGCTCAATAGTTTTTGCATTTGTTGAACTCCACCCAGAGATATATCTTGGCCTGGACAGTTGCCAGGAGTCATGTAAGATGTCAACAGATGTGTTACTTTGAGTTCAAGTTCTGCCTCACACACTTGCCAGCTGTGTGATCCTAGACAAGTCTCTTAAGTTCCATCTTTCCTTATCTATAAATGGGAATAATAATGGTACCTACCTCCCAGGTTTTTAAAAAAAAAGTTGTACATTACTTTGCAGATCTTAAAGCACTATAATATAAATACTAGCTATGATGATGATGATGATGAAGAAAAAGAAAAAAAGAATCCAAATGCAGATATCCTTTCTGATGAGAAAAATGATAGTAAATGACTGTACCCATCTTTTAAATTTTTTGTATAATTTGGCAAATGGCTTCTAGGAAGCTTTTTTGGTTTCTATTTCTGAGTAGCTATTTGATTTGTCTTTTAAGTTGGCAAAATGTTTTAAAACGGGAAGTTAAGAAATGTGTGAAGAATGCTGATCTCAGTGCTCAATTGTGACTTGAACATCAGAAAGAATAAACACAACTACTGTACATCCCCTTTGACAAGAAGTACAGATGGAGAACATGACCTCAGGAGTAAATGTCTTTGAGGAGTCTGAGCATATACACTATTTTCCAAGATGCTTGAAATCCAGAAACCCTGGACTAAGCAATGGTTATATCTGTGCTTGGCTGATGCCCAAAGCTCAACAGTGCTGACTCATCTAGAATTGCTATAGGATTTCCCATGTTTTCCTGTGACGGGGTATTTGTTTTTTTCAATTTTAGGGCTACAGTTTTCCCATTTTTTTTAAACTAGCAAGAAATTGGACCAACCAATTATTCATTGGTCTTCTGAATTTGTCTTTGTTTTGATACTTCACCGACCTAGAACTCAGCTAACTAGCAATCTCACCTAATGAGGACACCATGGAGAATGAGGAAATAGCAGGAAGGGCCTCTGACAACACAAAATAGATATCATGAAGTCCATTTGTTAAATCATATACTTCACTCAGAGGAGAGACCCTTAGCCTTCGTTCCAAGGCTATTTAGTTTTATTTTGTAGTGTCAGTCACATAGTAGGCACTTAATAAATACTTGTCAACTGAATGATAATTCTAGCAGACTTGGTCATATGGTTTCCACAGTCGAAAAGAAGCTACAAATAAGAAACAGAATAGGGGCTAGTAAGCAAACAGGTTGATAGCTAGGAAAGAGAGGAAAAACTACAAAAAAGCAGACACAATAATTTGAAAATTGGAGATATTTAAATAGAGAGGCAGATAGTCACAGTTTCTCACAACTGGAAGGACCTTGGAGGCTGACTAGTCATCTCACTCCCGAGTAAGAATCGATTTTACAGCATTGTCCTCCTGTGTTCATCCAACCTTGATCAATGACCTCCAGTGAGAGGGAAATCACTGGCTCTGGAAGCAGCCATTGAACTTTCACATAGTTCTAATTATTAGGAAGTTTTTCCTTACATCAAGCCAAACGTGCCTCTTTGCAAAATTGAGCAGTGCCCTGTTCCTAATTCTGCCATCTGAGCATGAGTAGGTCAAATCTAATTCTTTGACTGTATGATGACTCCTCAAATATAGCAATCATCCTTCTCCCTAAGTCTTCATTTTCCTTGTCCAACTAGCCAGTTATTTCAACTGCTTCTCGGATGGCATCAACTCAAGGCCTTTTGCCATCTTGGTTGCCCTCCTCTGGATGCTTATCAATGTCATCCCTTACATATGATGCCCAGAACTGAGTCCAATATTTTATATGTTGTCTGACCAAGGCAGAGGACAGTATGATGGTCACCTTCCTATTCCTGGACACTATACCTCTCCTAAAACAGCTTAAGACAAAACGTGCTTTCTTGGATGTCTTTCATACCTGAAGCTCTTATTGTTTAATTACATGGTAAAATAATTGGTGTTGATAATGATATCTTAGAGTCATCAAGGAAAGGTTATGTTCCATTCTATACACACTTATTTATGAAAGCAGAGAAGAAACTATGTAGTACATTTTAGAAAGATTTCCATCCCAAATGGTAAAAATAAACTATGACTTGGTGCTTAATGGGATAAACTCAGCTATGTGGAAAACTTGGCTACCTAGAACAATTCCTTTCCAGAAGGTTTTAGATGGTTGAGGTTTACTCTATAAAAAAAAGAAGGGGTCAAATATCCTTCAGGTCCACCATGGGTCCAAATTTTATAGGTAATAGAAATATAAAAGCATTTGTTCCCCCAATGGGAAGTTTAACTTAGCTCAACTAAAAAAAAAAACTGTGGAAAATGTAATCAAACCTCAGGTTTGTGCATAAAGAATTTTCCTAAATTATGTAGAGTCATATGGCACCATATATCAAACTTTCCAGAAAATAAGACAATGTTGCAATGAATATGATTATATTTATATGAGCTTGAAAAACAATAAAGGTGTCATTGGATAATGGCCTTTTATTTACATTACATAATCCATAAAAGATTTAGTAGAACATATGCCATTACTCACATCCAAACTACAAGGATAGAAGTCTTGTTCTTATGTCTTTTTTTTTCTTTTCGGGGAGCTGGACTCATCCATATACGTGTAGGAATTCCTTCTACTGATAGTTGACTAATGGCAGTACTTTTATACCTTCAGGTCTAGAGTTGCAAATTACAGTCTTGGCTAATAGGTTGGGGCCCTGAGAGGTTAAATAACTGGGCTGTGATCACTTAGCCAGTAAGTGTCAGAGACAGGACTCCAGCCTAGGTCTTCCTGCTTCCAAGGTGGTGCTCTATCCAGTGCTCCATACTGTCTCTTGCCTCATTGTTGTTTTATACAACGGAAGAAAATTAGCTTTCAGATACCCTTTTTGCCAAATCTTAGAAAGGTGCAAACTTGAAGCCTGCTATTTTAGAAACAGATAAACCCTTTACGTTGAAGGTTTTAAAATTTTCTTTTCCATTCCCAAGTGAAATTGTACAAACTGTGCCCAGTAAGTAGTACACTGCAGTGGAAGTTTATTTGCAGAATTTGCCTCTTGCCTACTTTTGTGCAGCAAAGTCAGGTTAGGCAGATAAACATTTCCCTGGCATCCTGGGGCAGGCTAGCTCCACAAACCTTGTGACAAAAACAACAAGGAAGTCAGTCTGTAACATTTCTACATTAGAGCGACAGGCGACCCCAGGAGAAACCAGGAGCATAAAAGCCAGGCCACTGCGAGCAACCACACAAATACAATTCAGCTGCACTAAAAAGAATTGACAGAATAAAATGGGAGTCACCGTGTTCTGAATCTTTCAAAATCCTTTATGTATAACTTCTTTGAGTTTCTACATAACAACATATGAGGAAATTACCTCTTTTATTAGAATGAATGCAAATTTGTTGGGGTTTTTTTGGAGAGGGGTGGAGAGAAATACTCCCTCCCAACATTTGAGGTGAGGTTATTTAGAGTACGTACCATTTTTTCAAAGTTTACTAGATTGTCAATGAACGTCTTGTTCCCCTCATGAGTAAATGTCATATCTGTATGGAAATAAAAAGCCACAAGCTAATAACCAATTGAAATTTGTCACAAGAAGAAAGCACAATGGCACCGCACTAGATTGTACCAACTGATTTGCATAAGGTAATTGTACAAGGCTAACAATGGTTCCTTTTATGTCAGGTGTTTAACTTTTAAAATCTCTTTACTTGAGATTAGTAAAATTTCTAAACTCGTGCTTAGTTCAACCAGGGAGACTTTCAAAACCCCAGATCACTGCTCCTCCTAACCCTCTTAGCCTTTGAAAAACAAACAAACAAAAAATCCCTGAGAAAGTGGAAGGATGCTACCTTCTTCCCCCTTTTCCAAAGAGCTCTATTTTATCTTCCCTTGACTCCTCAGATATTTATTACCTGCTCATTTGGATTACCTTTAATGAGTAAGGGCATGAAGGGAATTAGAGGTGGATCCAGTTTGGCAACAGTAAGCCTGTAAGCCCTGTGGTTCCTGGATGGATCCTTAAGAGGGAAGAAACAAAAACAACAGCAAATACACCATATTGAATATTGGTAAAAGAGACATTTGTGTTTTAAAACTGGTGGTGAATACAAAATCACAACAGCTTTAATTAAATGTAATTCATGTACTAAAACAAAACATTCCACACTCAGTCTTTCCATTTCTCTTCTTTCTTGATTTTCATGACGATGGACCAGGATTATTTGCTTATCAGGGAGCCATCTGCTTGAAGGCAAATATTAAATTTGCAATAGAGTCCAGAGTATGTGGCCCACTGTTACCTACAGGCCCTTACCCCAATTCTGAAGCTATCCACACGTTCTTTGATTCACCTCTGCCTGTCTTGCACTACCAGTCCAAACATGCGCTTCTCCTGGCACCACCCAAACACTCTTGCCAAATCCTACTCAATTATTTTTCATCTGCAGACATATTCCAGCTCATGGGGAAAGGTGGTTTTGAGTAAGGTGAGAAAAATGCAGTTTGCAACACATAACCATCCAGTGTCTGATATGAGAAAAAAGCATATCACACTGCTTTTCTTAATTACGCAAATCGACCTTATGTGGGGCATAAGTCCTCTTTAAGTTGGTTCCTAAGAGTGTAATTCATTAGTCATACATGCTTGTTTTAGCAGCACTAAAATGGGATCATAAACTTCTTAAAGTCAGACAAGGACAGATAAAATATTCTGAAATGAGGACTTCAAATTAGTTCATCAGCAAATGGATTAATACAGACAGTGAACAGAATAAAGGGGCCACTGCCACTTACCATTAAGCTTTCAAACTCAGCATAGATCTTCTTGAACTTGCTTGGAAGTTTCTGTTGACAAAATCAAAATACCAACACTCTTTGTCACACTCAGTATATATAGATGCCCTATCATTTCTGTAAGAAATGTTCCCTGCCTACCCCTGGCTCTTAATCAAACAACCAGCCTGTAATAGGTTTTTCCATTTCCAGGTACTTTAGAATAACAAAAACCATCTTTCCAGAAGTCTTTTAACTTAGGTGAACCAAAAGTAACTTAGGAATGCTTGGGTCTTACTGTTTTTAACACTGTTATCTATACAGGATGATTCATAAAGATGATAGCTTTCCTGGGTCACAACTAGACTGGTAATTTTTTTAACTCTCTGATTTCCACTACTAGGAATTTAGATAATAGAACAGGAGTTCTTTATCTGAAATCCATGAAAAGGGTCCATGAATAGATTTTAGGGGGGGGGGGAGATTTCCTTTGTAATTCTAAGTTCTTTATATACATTTAAAAAGATTATGCCAAAGGAGTCCATGACCCTCCACTAAAAAAAACAAAAAACAAAAAACAATTAAAGAACTCCTCTCATAGAACTGATCTAGTCCAGCTCCATCATTTTACAGAGAAGAAAACTAAAACCCAAGAAGGTTGTGACTTGCCCAAAGGCACATAGGTATTTAGTGGCAGAACCAGACTCTGACCTCATGGCCTGTTTGTGGGGCTCTTGCTGCTATATCACTTTGCTTTCCCTAGATTATTCTGTATGTTTCCTCAAAATGGAGTAGATTCAAACCACCTGATTTATCTGACTGCAGACGGTACAGAAGTTAATGTTGTCCTACTGATCTCTTAATTTTCTTTCTCATTTTGACCTGTGAATCCAAACCACAATTCCATAATACAAAGGCCAGGATTGTTATTCATTGTTCAACCTGTTCTTGTAAGTACCAGGTTTTCAGGAAAACTGAGCAAATACTTTTCCCACTTCTGAAGGTCTCCAAATTAAGAATGGTGTTCTCATCACAAAGAAGAGCATGATGAGTTTTATGATTTGTTTTTCCTATCATGCATCATTAATAGGACTGGCAATATTCTGGATGTCTGAGGTTTTCAATTTCCTTCTTCCTTCCTGTGTAAATTTCACCTTTGATAAATACATCCTGAATTTCATTAGATTTTTATATTATGCTTAAATAAATTTTCTCCTCTCCTCCCAAATCTGAACCAATTGCAAAATCTCTTTTGAAAATATTATAAATTTTTTTTTAAATAAACTAAGTGTGCTTTAGGTGCCATGGATCCTTTTCCTGGCCTAAATCCTCATTTTGAGGATAGGTTTTGATTTTATTACTTCAAAAGAATATGGTAAAGAGTTGTGGTTTGAGTTCTGGTTTAGGCATTTGGGGACAACAGTTCTCAACTTGAATTCCCAAGTTACAGGAGGGTTTTAAGTACTATATATAGTAAGTATTTAATTATTTATAAATGAATTAATCAATTAATGGACTTTTTCCTCATCACATGGTTGGTTCCTAAGCCTTAGAGCTAAGTCAAGTGGGGGCACTGAGTTGGTAAGGGTGCAATTTAATTTGGATAAGGCTGAATGTGTCTCTCTAATCCAGTGTATGTCTCCTATTACATTCCACGGCCAAATATAAAAGATGATTCATCATTTTCTATTATATTTACCCCTTCTCTTCATTAGCACAGAGAATCAAAAGTTTATGGTGCTATCATTTCTATGAGTCTCAGTTCTGTCATCTACACAATTAGTTTACTCCCATATTGCCACCACCTATCTATAAAAAATAGAATTTCTACTCTCATTCTAGCCCAGTCTTACCTACCTTTTACGATTTACTTCGAGTTAAGTTTAAGACCCCTATTGTAAAAGTCCTCCAAGTAGACTAGCTCACACTGATCTCTGTCTTATCTATATAGGTAGTCTCCAATTTAAAAATAGTTAGGTGGAGCAGTGGATAGAGGGCTGAGCCTGAAGTCAGGAAGATTCATCTTCCTTAGTTCAAACCTGGCTTCAGACACTTACTAGCTGGGTGATCCTGGGCAAGTCATTTAATCCTGTTTGCCTCATTTCCTCATCCATAGAATGATCTGGAGAAGCAAATGGCAAACCACTATGGTAACTTTGTCAAGAAAACTCCAAACGGGGTCATGAAGAGTCAGACATGACTGAAAAATGATTAACAAGAAACCTACAAATAGGTAACTTCTAATGTTTGTTTGTAAATTAGTTATTGGGAATTTGTGCCTCATTTTCCCACATAATCAACAAGACATGGTGGTTAGGCTTCCAGGCCAACCTACAAAAGCTTATTTAATCCATATGGCACTTCGTGGTTTATAAAGTACTTTAAATCCATGATTTTATGTGATCCTCACAACAGCACCATGATGTAGGATGGGATAAATACAACACTTTCCCAAGAGTAGCATCCCCAGAAGACAATAGAAAAAACATATACATTCAAATATGCTGTTTCTAGTGATGGTCTTCATACAAAAAGTGGCAAAAGGGATATCATTTAGGAAGTTATAGTCAGAAAAGGAAGTGGGTCAAGCATATAGCCAGAAGGAATAATCACTGATAGCCTGAGTGGTTTACTGGTACCTTTGAAGTGTTTTAAAAAACAAAAAAAGGAGGCTTCTAGCATGTTGAATGGATCCTCTTTGGAGGATCTATGGAAGAACATGGGTAAGAACTGCAAAGGATAAAGAAGGCAGAGATGAATTAAGATATTCATTGAATACTAGAATCAGTGAGCTCACAGATTCACTGAGGCACTCAAGTGCTAAAACAGCATAGCATCTAATATTCTAGGTCACAGCTTGGGATGCCAACACCTTTCTCCCACTGCAGCTCTGAGAGGGAGAACTGGCTTCCATCCCCTCACCTTCTGTGGCTGCTCCTCTTCCTCTCTGTTTTCTGGGATGTGGTAAGGAGGACCAACCTCCCCAGGTTCAAGCCATCTGTGATGGCTTCTTTGATTTGGAGCAGGGATACTACTAGCAAGGCAAGGATAAGGGATGAGGTGAGGGATGGGGCAAGGATAGAAGAGGAGGGTGCACTGTGGGGCGGATTCCCGTTTGTGTATAACCTTCCAAAGACACTCTTCTACCCCAGGCCAGCTTCCTAGTCACCTGGTCAGTCTAAAACATTTATTAAGTGCCTGCTGTGTGCCAGGTACTGTACTAAGCACTGGGGATAAAAAGAAAGGAAAAGATAGTCTCTGCTCTCAAGGAGTTCACAGTTTACCAGGGGAGAAAACAGGCAAATAACTATGCCCAAACAAGCTAAATTCAGGAAAAATTGGAGACAATCACCCTTCTTTGCTCCCCTGAACTCCTAAGAGTTAAGCTCTATTTCTCTTTCCCTTATGGCCACCTATTATTTCCAAACAGGGTTTCTCTCCTCTTCTGATCCACTACAGAATATACACAACATCACTGCTCCTCCCTTAACCCCTGCCCATCACTGCTACACAAACAGCATGAAGTTTATCATATAAAAGGCCAGGCCTTCTGCTTTTATTGGAAAACATAATGGGGGAGTGTGTGGTAAAAAGGACTCCTTGTATCTTCTCCCTTCTCAGAAGACTATAAGCTCCTTGAGGCCAGGGATGGTTTTATTCTTATTTCTGTTTCCCCAACATCTAACACTGTGCTTTATACAAAGCAGATGCTTAAGAAATGTTCATGAAATTTAACTGACTCCAAAGAGGGAGGTGGTGATATAGGAAAAAAGAAGCCTTGGCTTTGGAATAAGAAGGCATAGATTCACATTCTACCTCTCCTCTTTGGTTCTGTATTGAATGGGGAAATGAGCCCACTGGACTAGGCAGCCTCTAGAAGGTACTTTCTAGCTCTGGAATCCTGGGATTCTGTGAATCGAATTCCTATAAGGAGAGACCAATGTAGTATAGGTACATCAACATTTTCGAGTTCAACAGGCTCAACTAGTATTCCAAGAATTTCTTTTTAGAGGTGCAGCAGAGGAGTAAGAAACAGGCTAGAGATTTCCAAGCTGTCTGTGAAACCATTCCGAGAGCATGAGGGGAGTAAGTGGCAATGGGAAAGGGAAGGTAGGAGTAGATACTAAGGCTCACTCCTCCTCTCATCCCTCACCTCCCCGCCCGTTCCCTGCCACCGAACACCTTATCCTGGACCTGGATTATGGAAAAACTGAGGATCAGGCACCAGGGGTGGGAAGGTGGGTTATTGGAGGTGAGGGGGGAAGAAAAGTAGGAGAAAAGGGGAAATCCTAATGGAAAACAGTTGAAAACCTAGAGGAATTAGTTATCACACTCCCCCACTCAGTCCTATGGAAAGCTTTTCCTTATCCCCTTAGGTGTTAGTATGTTCTCCATCCTCTTCCAACTAAAGCATACATAGTTATCTGCTTATCAGTTATATTCTTCCCAGTAAAATGTAAGTTCCTTGAGGAAGGGTACTCTTTTGTTCTGTCTTTGTATCTTCAGCTTCTAACTCAGTGCCTAGCACACAGTAGGCAAGTAATGAACACTTTGTGGGTGGTATTTTAGGCACTCAGGAGCCATTCCCAGGAGGATATTTGTATGTCAGAGATGTAGATAAATGCCTGTAGGTAAGCTGAGGACTAGACCTGTATTTCATTTGCATATTTTGAGCTTCGTGGCTTTGTATTTTTGTTGTATACTCTCTGGTTCTCTAATAGTTTCGTACGTCCGTATAATGTATCCCCTACAGTATTGTAAACTTCACGAGATAGAGAACATACCTCATAATTCCAGGTGAGTGTAGGTCCACAATAGTACCATAGGCCTATTTGATTAAATTCAAGAATCTATATGAATTAAAACATTTCTAAGAGAAATGAAGTAAAGATGTTAACGTAATTGTGTTTCACCTTAAGATGGAATTTTACCCAAGGATGATACAAGAATCTCTTTTGGCTTAAATGGTTTAGTCTTTTCTTGCTCCCACTGGAGTAGAAAGACTTATCCAAATCCTATTGTGCTTGGTTCTGCCATGGCTGGGCATTAAGCTTCCTGATATTTGTGATTCCTTCCAGGTGAATGGGAGAGGCTGAGGACAGTAGCTCCTCTATCCTATATACTACAGTGCCAACATTTGGGATGTTGCAGAAAGTCCCCTATCCACAGTTATCATGGTCCTTGACAAGCTCTAGGCCAGGAGTTCTTAACCTGAGGTCTGTGAACTTGTTTTTAAATTTTGATAACTGTATTTTAATGTAATTGGTCTCCTTTGTAACCCTACATATTTTATTGAGTGCACTTTAAAACATTATTCTGAGAAGAGGTCCATAGGATTCATCAGCCTGTCAGAGGGGTCCATGGCACAAAACCTGCTCTAGGTGGACTCAGGGTTACTTCTCTGAGGTCCCAGCTTCTGGTCATTTAGTTCTGGCTTTCCTGCAGGGTCCCTTAGCTTCCTTGGACTCAAAGGCCTGCTCTAGAGTAGTCTGGAACCCCTGAGGGAAAAAGTGGTGTCAGGTGAATGAAGGAGTAGATGAGTCACTAAAGCATAGAGCCATGGCTGACTCCCCAAAAGGGTCCAGTACAAACTTGTCCCTATGGGTGTCCTTAATGGCCCCCATAAGCCTTCTGATGAAAGGCGGGGGAAATTGCAAGATGACTTTATTGCCTTATTTACTTGTAGCGTTAATTTGATTCCTTTGCCAGATGGAAGCTGATACAGCTTCATGACATGCAGGCCTCACCAATTCTCTCACTCCTGTATTCAGGAGATGAGCTGCTGTGTGCCACACCTGCCTTGCATATACAGAGAAACTCAAGAGAGAAGAAACTGGGACAGCATGCCCTGAAAGCAATTAAAGCAATTAGAAGAGTTAGGGGATGGTAGTCTAAGGGAGAAGAAAGGATTTTTCAAGACAGCCTGAAAAAGGAAAAATGGGCAGCTTTCAGGTGTATCTTCAACTGCCCTTCTACTCCCTGTCTCCCTCCCCAATATTTTGTCACTTAGGTTCTATCTTGCTTGCTTGACTTTGTATCCAGAGAACTTAGCTCAGTACTTGGCACATAGTAATCACTGTCTCTCTCTCTCTCTCTCTCATCATCTATCTACCTACCTATCTATCAGTCATCTATCTACCATCTATCTCTATCTATTCATTAATTTTTAATGTTTCCACTTTGGGTGGAAATCTGCTTCTGCGTTGTTGACTGTAAGAAGAGTATTTCTTTAATCATATAAATGTACAATATACAATGAACATATACTGCTTTGTGAATGTTTGGACAAATGTAAAATATAGGCATCCTCTAGGACTACAAATAGTCAAACCATTGAAACTATTGACTTAATGTTTGTCAAATTGAATTGAATATTGAGTTTTGGCCGATTGTCCTTTATCCAAATAGAACAGATCTGACGGAGAGCTAAGAGGCACAATTCACAGCAGGACCCATGCACTTTTCCTCACAGCTTATTCCCTCAGTAGCTGAATGTCTGCCTTGGTTAAAAACATATCTCCCATCTTAGTGGTTAGCAGAAACTCCCTTCATGTCATTCCTGTGAACATTTGAAAACTTCTTACAAGTCCTAGTGGGACACTATTGGTATTTCCATTATATAGATGGTAGGATTGAGGCCCAGACAGAAGACAATTCTTGATCAAATTCAGATAGCTGGGAAACTAGTATAATAAGGCATGAGGCCTATCTCCCAGTCTCTTACCTGATATGCCACTCTCACAAACCATGGAGGGTTCTTTCTAAGAAGAAACTCACTATGTATATGTCATGGTTCTTAACCAGGGATCTACAAACTCCCAAGGGGTCAAATTTCAGGAGGTTTGTGAACTTGAGTGTGTACACACACACAAATATACATCTATATGTACACACATATATGGCACATAGATAGTGAAGTGCATAGAGCACCTGGCCTGGAGTCAGGAAGACGTGAGTTCAACTCTGGCCTCAGACACTTACTAGCTGTGTGATCCTGGGCAAGTCACTTAACCCTGTTTGCCTCAGTTTCCTCATCTGTAAAATGAGCTAAAGAAGGAAATGGCAAAACCACTCCAATATCTTTGCCAAGAAAACTCCAAGTGGACACACTTAAATGACTGAACGACGTGTATGTGTGTATTAGTGTGTGTATACATATATACACATACGTGTATATAGAGATACACACACACACACTTTTTTTTCCAGCCATCTCTAACTGAAATTTAACATTTCCTTCAATTATTCAAAAACATTATTCTGAAATGTGGTCTATCCAAAGGCTTCACCTGACTGCCAAAGAGGTCCATGACACAAAAACCTGGTCTAGACTGTGTATTCATGCTTCAGGCAAATATGACAATTAGATTTCAGTCAATGCTTACCTCCCATGTTAGCGCCAAGCGGCTCACAGCAACGTTACTGAGTCCCATGACGATGGCAAAGAAGGAATTCAGATTTTTGTACTCCTTACAGCTGAAACGCAAGAAGCTTATGTTTGAGTAAAATGCAATTCTGGGGGACACGTAAGATCAGGGCCCTGCCTATGGCAGTCATTAATGTTTGCTGGCTTTCCTTAAAAGAATGGGAAAGGCTGGAGTTAATGTGTCGGATAAGTTCCAGTTGAGTGGCTACATTCTTGTTATCTGGCCTCTATGGTTTCAGACAGATGAATTTTAGCATTTTTCGCCTTTGCTCCCCTTCTCAGTACTATTTTTTTAAATACCACTTGAGGATAATTTGGCTCTTGGAATGAATGGATTTTGGGAGAGGGGTAAAAAATAACTGGTAAACTGGTATTGGAACACATTCTCACAGCTTTGCTTCCAGGTGAAAACTCCAACAAACCTGAAGAGAGTATAAAATATCCTTTGGGAGGATCTCTAACGTACTGATAGTACCCCATCTGCAAGGCAGGGGAGGAACCCTTTGCTGTAATTCTTCATTCTCCTAATTGCTGAGAGAAGCCATTGCCCTTCCTTCTGTTCTCACCCACTATAGCGAATAAGGAGTGCACCTGTCCCCTCCAAAAGTTTTGCTGGAGTTATGTACTGGGCACTCATTTTCTAGGACGTTTTTAGTAGTAGATGATCCATACTTTACTGAAAATAGATGTGAAATCAGCTGATCCCAGCCCCCTCCCCCCACCAATTTGCTCCACCAGATCAAGCAGCTAATGGTTGAGCCCATCACTTCGCTATTTGCCGGGCTATTTAAGTTTGATGACTGAATTTCTGGGAGAGGAAACAAATAGAAGATATTAACAAAATCCTTAGTCAGAATGTCGCTGATCAGCCCAGGCACTTGGTTTGAGTCAAGTATGCTGCAATTCTCAACCTCTCAAACATCAGCTTGTCGGGAGGGGAAAGGAGGGTGGTACGCTTGTGGTAGGGACAAATCCCCTACCAAAAATCAATAGTTATCCAAGATGACTAAATCTTAGTTAAACCCAACATGGATTAGCATTTTGATAAAAGGCTAAATTAAGTTGTTTGGTGTGTTGCTAGGGATCAGACTGAACAAGCAGTCTCTGGTAAATCTTAAATTGTCTACTCTGAAATGGAAAAAAAAATAGGGTACAGCATAATGGACCTGATCCTACAAGGGAGATAGGAGTGAAGGACTTACCTCTGTATCAGCTGTAAGTGCTTTAGGCCAGAGGAGGTAATTAACCAAATAGACACTTTGGGGGAAGGAGGTGGGGAGAGAGAAAAATGAATCATTGGATCATAGAGTCAGAACTGGAAAGAAGCTTAGAGGTCAAGTATGAGCTTAGGCATGCATAGAGCATGGTCTGGGTGTGCTGGCACCTCCCTTCCCCTCGCCTGAGGGGTGTACTGGGGGAGCAGGCAGGGAGACCATCACCATTGGTCCTGCTATGAAGCGAACACAGAGGGCCAATGAGAATGCCTTTTCCTAAGTCAGCCATATGCATGCTCTGTGCAGTTAGCTCCATGAAAGAGGGGAATAGGAAAGAGAATTAAGAAGAAAGGAAAAAGTCAAGAGAGGAAGAGTGGGAATTAAGTGAAAAAAAAATTTTTTTTAGCACATGCCAGGCATTATGCCTATCCACATGTGTTTTATCTTGGGAAGCAGAACCCTGATGCAATTCTTACTTGGCCAGGAATCAGTGGCCCTGAAGCTAGCCCTTGTCAAGCTCTGCCACTAAGTATCTTTGTGGTTCTGAGCCAGGCATATAAACTATCTATTTAGGCTTTCTCAGTGAAGATAGTATTACTTCCTCCCTTCATAGGTTTGTGTGTGTGTGGAGGGGGGGTAGGTTAAGGAAATAACATATGTGAAACTACTTTAAAAAACAAGAGAAAACACAGGAAAACAAGCAAAATGAAAGGTGTTATTATTATAACATGTGTGTTTCAAATTTGGGAAACAAATGTATTGAAGTCAGAGGTGATTTCTTATCTGTGTGGAGCCCAGGATAGCATTAGGTGACAGGAGTTAATAAAGAAATCCATATTCACCATCATATATACCTCATACAGAGAGGTGCAGCATGTAAAAACAACCCTGATGATTTCCCCTGCTGATAATCATTTCATTTCTTCAGGTTTTATGTTGATGTTGTTATTTTTTTTAAAGGATTCTTACTTTCAGGCTACATCTTCTTTCTTAAGAAAAAGAACAAAATGAGTAGGAGCCCAATCTAGCAATAAGAGCCCTTTCTATGTTTTTCTGACTTTGCCCATTTTCATGTAAAAATGCTTTTGTGTTTTCTCCTCCATTGGCACTCACCATGGTGGGAAGAGGAAAATGAGCTCTTTCAGATGTGGAAGCTATACCTGTTCACAGGTTTCAATAAGCACCATGCTTGGGAGGCTTGAACCAAACACGGAAGAGACCTTGGCTGCCTTTTTCACCTGGAAAAAGGCTGATCTCTGCCCCCAGGCCAACGGGGTGTGCAATTCCTCCTTATTTCCTTAGTAACATTTTTATTACGTTCCCCTTGAAAGAACCCGAAGCTGGAAAATGACAAGAAAACAGGCCCAAGAGCTACTCACAGTGGGAGTTTTTGCTGACCTTCCTGTTTTGGCAGGATAACTCGAGACATTTGGCAAAGGGAAAACATGCCTCAGAGTTTGCTTTCTTTTGTTTAGCTCTCTAGAAACCAGACTAAGCAGGCTCTTGAATTTTGAGTTTCAGAAAGCAACCCAGAGAAGGTTGTTTCTATTCCCAACATTTGTGCTGTAGAGCTCCTTGAATTTAGAAGGGAAAGGATTTTCAGTGCCACAGGCCACGTTTAGCAATTTATTTTTAGCATCGTAGTGATACTGGAAACATGCAAGTAAACAAGGAGTCGTCAAGCATATCTAAATAGCAAGGGAAGATTAAATTCATGTCAGAGGGAAATCTAACTGGCCCGCCAGTAAATAAACTGTTTCCCATGAAGTTCTCCTAAATGGAATATTTATAAGATGCTTGATTTTTATCCTGAGTTCTATGGAGAGGAATCTCTTGTATTGGTTTGCTTGCCTTTATGCATTGGGCCATTTCATTCTGTCAGTCTCACATCACTGGTTTCTCTGCATGTGCTCTACTGCCCTCTCCTGGACACAATTTGCCATGCTGGCTAACTCATTTCCATCTCCTTTGAAATACCTGCCAACTACTTAATGGTGTTTTCTTTAGGTGATTGGGCAAAAGTGTGAGTACCTCAAGAGCAGACAGAGAGAAATTATGAGCCTCCAGTGCCCCTAGGGTCAGAACAGGTGTGGAACTGCTGAGAGTTTATGAGGGCCAGGATGTTGGGGGTTAGAAAAAGGTGAAAATAGCATTTTTCTGAAGAAAAAAAAAATAAGTTCTTCTCTGAGGTCCTGGACAGGACTCTGTACATGACACAGAGTAAAGACAGAGTGGGTTCTTTGGAGTTTTTTTGTCTTGGAGAAAGACTAAAGAAAGCAGCAGACAGATTCCACGCTTGGCACACAACTCGAGCAATTCGCTTGCATACGCCAAAGGTACTTACTGGGCTGCTATCTTAATAAATTTCTTTAGGAGCTGAACTCGCTTGCTGAGTTGGGCACAAAGGCAAATCTCGGTGACGACCCAAAACTGAATCTCATTAAACCTCCTTAGGAACAAATCCAAGTTTGCAGTGGTCTTCTTAAAATTGTGCCTTCCAAATGTGTGGTAGATTAGCTCCAGCTTGAAAAGAAAAATCCAGAGTTGTCAAATTTGCTTATCTTTTTATTTACATTGAGAAGAATCAATAGGTAGGTTTCCCTTTTTCTCAAGACAATATTGCTGGGTAGAAAATGTGGGTTCCCTTAGTGGATAAGGATTCCACTTTATTGCTAGTTCATAGAGGCTCAGTGTGACATTTATGTTAATCATATAAATGTAGATCATGTATTAAAGGCTTAATATACTTAGAAAGACACATCAGTGTGATTCAATACACAGGAAGGTACTCAAGTCAGGACTCCATTTATTTCCCCCTTGCCACAAAGACTAGAGCTGACTTAAATGTGCTCAGTGTTCACAGAATTGTCATTTAGTTTCCTTACCTTAATAGAACTGAGAGACAATTCTCTGAGATTGCAATTTGCGTAGTTGGTGCTCTTCAGCAGGTAAAAGCAATTTCCTGACAGGGTGTCAGGTTCAGGTGGCAAAACACACATACACACACACACACACACACACACACACACACACAAACACACACACAAACTAAAACTCAGAGTTGAGTTACTCCAGCAGCTATAGCCCAGAGCTATGATTCAAAATACAAAAATCAGTATTGGGACTCCTTACCTCATGTACACAGTTGAAGAGCTCCCAATCATAAATTGTCATTTGGTATGCTAAATCTTTGGAACTCATCAGTTCAAAAGTTCCTACTGTTCCAGTAGTTGGGCCTTCTTGTTCTGGTAAGGGTGTCTACAAATAAAATACATGGATCATCGATTTAGAGATAGAAAGGATATTTGAGATCATCTAGTTCAGCTTCCCTTATTTTACAGATGTGGAAACTGAGGCACAGTGCTGTTGTGACATGGCTACAAGTTGCCCGAGTCAGGCTTGAAACTGAACTAACTCCTCTGATTACCTACCCAATATTCTTTCCATTGCACTGTGTGGTACTGAGCTTTACTAAGAGTTGCTGAATATAATTAGATTCTAATAGTGTATTTTTTTAAGCAAAAGTCTTAATTTTGATTTTAGTTACAGCAGTAAGATGGTCTTAACTTCAGTAGTCACTTTGGTCAGCATAATAATAAAACCCGCCATTGTCACATATATCCAGCGGTTCTCAAACTTTTTGGATTTTATTTCTGGACCTCTTTTTAGGCTTAAAAATTATTGAAGACCACCAAAGAGTTTTTTGTTCACATGGGTTACATCTATTTATATTTACTATATTACAAATTAAAATATCATAGTGTTATTATGAAAATAATTTTAACCTCATGAACCCTCTGAAATGCTCTTGAAGACCCTCAGTCCAGGGTTCCAGAATACATTGTGAGAACGGCTGCATCCACCTACTAAGCTGTAAAAATCAGCATTGCCGCTAAATTCATATATCAGATTTACTCTGTGAAGAGGGACAAGTAATTTATTTTGGCTGTGAAGAGTGACAACTGGAGATCCTCATCCGATAAATTGTTTTCTGAAAGGATCTTGGCAACAACTCCTGAGAGGTGAAGGTAGGAGAATTTTCTCTTGCTTCAATGTTTCTTCCCTGGAGTAAACCCAAAGCAGTGGCTGACAGAGGAGTTGGTGACATCTGATTATAACCTTCCTGTTTAGGGTACTGGTGACTTTCATCGGAATAACTGTATTTCCATCACTGGAGACATCCCAGCCATGCCTCTTTCTTTAGGCAGCATGCAACTCAGAACGTTGAAACAGAGGAAGGAATGCTCCTCTTTCTCCTGCATTAAACCAGTCTCCTCACCCCATGGGGAATTCGAGGCCAAAGCAGTGCTGCCCACTCAAGTGTGTTTCTGGGTTAGAAGTTAGAAGACCAAGGGTCTGATTATGGCCCTGCTACTGACTTCCTAGTAACCTTAGATAATCATATATTATTCAGTGCCTTGTTATGCCTATGAAACTGTCTGAAATGCTTTCAATTTACTGAATTCTATTCAGTTCAACGTAATCACAATTATAACAATACCTGGCATTTTATATAGTATTTTAAGGTTTACAGACATGCCTTACCTCATTTGATCCTCTCAACAACTCTGTGATATATGTGCCATTATTATTCTCATTTGGCAGATCAAGAAAGTGAGGCTCAGAGATATTAAGCAACTTATCTATGGTCACAGCTAGTAAAGATCTGAGATGGGATTTGAACCCAGATCTTCCTGACAATGGGCAGATAAGTGGTGCAATCATAGGCCTGGAGTCAGGAAGACTCCTCTTCCTGAGTTCAAATCTGACCTCAGATACTTACTAGCTGTGTGACCCTGGGCAAGTCACTTAACCCTGGTTGCCTCAGTTTCCTCATCTGTAAAATGAGCTGGAGAAGGAAACGGCAAACCACTCCAGTATCTCTGCCAAGAAAACCCCAAAAGGAGTCACCAGTCAATCACAACTGAAAAATGACTGAACAACTTCCTGACAGTTTCATATGGAATCCATCATGTTAATACACGTATAACTATTTTACAAAGTTGAGAAGGTCACAAAAATTTTAAGTAAGTTCACTTATAACATCATGTTATTTCTTAGTTAAAATTTACCTTTTTCCTGCAAATTCTGTTCAGTAGTCAGGACAAGACATTTGCATTTGAAAATTGTGCCTCCTGGAGTTACTGCCTACCAGACTCTTGAACCTTAGCTTTAAGGAGGAGTTCACACATTCAACTTGACTTCTCACATAATCAATATATTCCAGAGTGAAATGTTCTTCCATTAGAAAAGAGAGTATTTTTGTTTTTGTTTTTTACTAGGCAATGGGGTTAAGTGACTTGCCCAGGGTCACACAGTTACTAAGTGTCAAGTGTCTGAGATCGGATTTGAGCTCAGCTCCTCCTAACTCCAGAGCCTGTGTTCTATCCACTGTACCACCTAGCTGCCCCTAGAATATTTCTAAAAGATAATATCAAAGTGTTCCTTTTTGCCCCTTGAACTGTTGGAGGTTGCTGCCATCCTTGCCCACCCTTACTCTAAGGATTCACATAAGACTTCTTACTAGTGGTAATAAATGAAAATAATTTACTCTGAGAATCTTGATAATGTGATTTTTCTGTCATCATTAACAGTATGTATGGACTTTGTATACCATGTTAAATGAATGGGGATTAATTATTTAGAGTGCAATCAGCCCTTACCCTCAAAAAACTCATAATCTACAGGGGCTTGGGGGAAACAAGATGGATTAACCTATACAATTCAACACATGGATAAATAGATATGTGCACAGACATATTTGTATATATAAATACACTAAATTAGTGACACATAGATTAATAATCTTTAGGAGCATAAACATGAATAGATTGCTGACGGAGGAGAGGAATTTCTTTGAGAGTTAGCAAGGCACACAGGGTAAATGTGTGGGATCAGTTTCTAGTGGGTATATGGAGGTTTGTGGAGACAGAAGCTAGGTTCTCAAGGATGGAAAAGACAAGATTTGATGGAATGATAATGGAGCATTATACAATTTACAAAGTGCTTTTCATACATTATCCCATTAGTTTCTCCAAACAACCCTGTGAGGTTAGTATTTTCAATATTATTGTCCCCATTTGGGGGATGACAAAACTGAGATTCAGGGAGGTTAATTGACTGGCAAAGGGTTCCAGAGCTAGTAAGTGCTGGAGGCAGAATTTGAATCGAGTTTTTTCATGCCTCTAAGCACAGAGTCCTTTCCACTAAATTCTGTTTTTCCTGGTAAAGGGGAGTCCAAACAGGGAGGATTAAGAATATGTGATATTGATAATTAATTAATGATTCTGTTATTAGTAATTATTTATAATTATAATAATAAGATATGAGTAAATGAGACAGAAGTTGTAAGTGAAATTCTATTGAGAGATAAGGTGCATGCAAACAGGATTACCAACTTTGAGTGAGCCCTGGAGCTCAGGGATCAGGAGTTTCTTTGGTATGGAAGATAAATAAGGGGGTCATAATAGAAATTTGAGGATTGAAGAGATTGAAAGGATGTAGAAAGGTTACATGAAGAACATGTCATTAACAGTGATATTTAAGACCACGTACAGGGACAGAGGGGTGGAGGCAGGCAGGCTACCTACCATAGGTCAGATGAAAGATGTCCAGTGCCTAGAAGACAGCTATGGCAAAGGGAATGAATATGTCTCAATTTACTGTTATAGAGAGAGGTGCTACACGACACAAGTAATCCCTTCTTAGCCTTCAAGCCTTTGTGGTACCATCCCCTTTGCCAGGATATCTGAGTGTAGTGGTAAGATATCTTTCCACATGTCCAAATCAGAACTTTTTATCTTCCTTTCCAATCACACCCTTGCTTCTGAACATCCCTATTTTTGTGCAGGATACCACTGTCTTTCCAGTTACCCACATCCATCACCTTGGCATTACCCTGGACTTCTCACTCTCCTTACCCCACATAGTCAACCAGCTGCCAAATCCTGCCATTTCTACTTCAACAATATCTTTTGTAGCTGCCTCCTTTCTACTCCCAGGGCCATCACCCTAGCTCTCATCTGCATTTAGCTAAACTATTCAAATAGCCTCCTATTTGGCATCCTTGCTTCAAGTATCTCACCTTCTCAATAGGAATCAAAATGATTTGCTAAAGTTCAACTATGATATCTCTCCTCAACTCAATAAACTCTAGTGGTTTCTTACTGACTCTAGGATTTAAATATAAGCTCCTCTATTTACCCTTTAAAGTCCTTCATAACTTGGTCCCTATCTACCTTTCTAGTCTTATTATCTATCACTTTTCTTCACACACTATAAGACCAAGCCAAAGTGGCCTCTTTCCTGTTTTTCACACTGATCACTCTATCTCTTACCTCTGCATTTTTTATTTGTTTTTGCACTGGCTGTCCCTATGCCTGGAATGCCCCTCTATTCTGCCTCCTAGAACCCCTTCTTTCAAACTACTCAAGTGACATATTTAACATTGAGCCTTTCCTGATGCCCCCAGCTGCTCGTGCCCTTCCATCCAAAAAAAATTTACTTTGTGTTTATTTTGCATACATTTATTGGTGAACAAATTGTCTTCATCCATAGAATGTAAGCTTCTTGAGGGCAAGGGGATGTTTCATTATTGTTGGTATATCCCCAGTACATAGAAGAATTCCTGGCACATAGTAGGCATTCAATAAATGCTTGTTGATTGATGGATGATTGTTGACCAATTATATCAGGGCTGTACAACCTGCAGCTCACCAAAGGATTTTGGGTGGCCTATGAAAAATGTAGAGGAAAATATCCTCTACATGTTTGTGGGCTGCTCGAAATCCTTTGGCCTGACTTCAGGCTGCAGGTTGTGTAGGCCTAGATTATACGTATGCCACTTTACTTCCCTTCAGAAACTTTGAACAACCCCCCCCCCCCCCCCCTAAACTAGATAATTTGTCCACTTTTCATGATATAGTCTTTCCCACCTCCTATTGACATCATTCTGCATACCTGTAGTGTTTTCCCTTACCTCTTCTTCATTCATCAATATCCAGCACAAATACTAACAGCCATCTTTGATCCCCAAAGCAAGAGTGATCTCCCCCTCTGACAATGTCCCATTATCTTCTTGTCTTCTCTTTATAAGCTTTGAGGGCACTAGCAGTCTTGTATTGTATCTTATATTGTCTTCAACACCTAGCTCAGGACTTTGCATACAGGAGGTATTTACTAATTTTCTTTTAAATAAACAAATGAAAGGATGAAGGAAACAAAGGACAAAGATAAATGAAAGATGATTCCAAGGATCT